CACCAGGCCCCAGTTTCCTAAAGGTTCCACTACCTCTTAACATTGCCACAGTAGGAACCAAGCTTTCAACACAAGAAGCATTGGGAGACACTTAACCATATCCAAACATAGTGGTAGCTATTCCAAAATTGTTTACATTTCTATTTGTGTTCTAGGAGATAGTATGTCATGTTAGTAGTAAATTCCTTAATTTTTTTAGTTGTAGTTGAACACAATACCTTTGTTTTTATTTATTTTTATGTGGTGCTGAGGATSGAACCCAGGGCCTCAACGCACTAGCTGAACACTCTACCACTGAGCCACAACACCAGCCTGTAAATTCCTTGTTTTATRCAACTATACTCAAATTCATTTCTGTTATTTGCCATGTCCTTTACAATGTAACTACTGATTTTTGAGTGCTTGCTATATATCTCAGGCATCAACTCTGATCTCACATTTACATTGCTCTAGGAGGTCATTCATCTTGGTCTACCAAATATCTAGGGCAATATCTTTTGTTAAGATTATAAAAACTGATATATATATTAGATATACAAATTTTGTTAGCCAAGCCTTGCTCTGGCCAATAACTAAACTATTCTGTCTCTATAAAGTGTGTGCATTTTCAGAATATTAATAAGAAAATGGATTAATTTCCTGTGATTTAGAAATCTCTAGATTCAGAGAGATGCAAAGGCACTAAAACTACTATAGGTAGTTTCTATAGAGATCCCTGGTGTATAAACACAAGCAATTGAATTATCCTTGCTCTAGGTTCACATGTAAGCTCAAATGAATGTTGRCAGACAGGGCCTCCTATGTTTCCTTTGTTCTGGACTCTTTTCAAGGATGTTCATATAGCAAATATCTTAGGAAAAGAGAGTAAGTGGCTGTTGTGGAGATTAGGGCTGGCATGTTTACTGCCCGTTATAAAAGATCCAGGTTCCCTAAGATCAGGGGTACTCGGCTCTAACTCAGCTCACAGATATCACCTATCCCTCTTCACCATGTCGAGTGCAAATCAGAGCTCAAGGAACCAGTATAAATAATGCTGATATGCTGGCTAGAATAAATCCTTTGTCTCTGACACAGGGATTTTTTAGTATTATATAACTTTTAGTATTATTATAACTATATTATCTTTTAGTATTATTATAACTTGCAGTCATGCAGGTTCACGTATGTCTCCTTATGGCAATGATCTGAAGGACAAATTTGCTTTCAATTTGCTGACATGGTCAATTTCTGAGTTTAGTAAATTGAGGACCAGTTCTTGTAGCATAAATTAATAGATACAATTAAAGTCTTCCTGGAATACATCAACCAGCCCCTGTGTTCTTAAAGAATTGTTGATATGAAACCAGAAAGAAAGAATTCCTTTATTAATTAGACTTGTACTGAACACAGTTATGAGACAGAAATCACAAGAATTTTAACAGAGAACTTTTATAAAGAACTGTTAACCAGGTATTAGGAAAAAGAAGACAAAGGGGGACACTCAGATGTCACATAAGTAAGAATGATAGGAAACATTAATCACCCCTAGGCCTGGGATAACAAAAGCATGAAGCTAGGAGTTTTTGACACTTAGCAGCTGGGAGCAGAGCCCTGTAGGGCTGAGATTCAGACCTCTGGGTTAGGCAAGGTCCTGCTTGGCTGGTCCTGGTTCTTTAGGATCATAAAGGTGAGACTGTGGAGCTGGAACTCAGACCTCTCAGGAGGGCATTCTGGCTAGTTAGTGTGGGTCTCTCTGAGCAGGGAGAGTGAGGGGAGGCAGTGATGAGGCTGGTTTTAGAACTGTTGGAATAACTGTAAGCAACTGCTGGTGGTGGAGCCCTCCACTGCTGCTAGGATGAGATGCTGTGGTCATAAGTCACACTCTCAGGAACAGGAATTCCACAGCTTCCCACTCTTCCTCTAGTGCCTCCTATTAGCATGGACTAGAGTCCCCACTCCAGCATCACTGAAGACATTAATAACCAACAAGGATTTTTTTTTTTTAAAGAGAGAGTGAGAGAGGAGAGAGAGAGAGAGAATTTTTAATATTTATTTTCTAGTTCTTGGCGGACACAACATCTTTGTTGGTATGTGGTGCTGAGGATCGAATCCGGGCCGCACGCATGCCAGGCGAGCGCGCTACCACCTGAGCCACATCCCCAGCCCCACCAACAAGGATTTTAAAAAGCCTGTTTGACTAGAGGTTAGGAAGGTAGGRGGAAGAATGATTCATGACCTGGGAAGCAGGTGGGCAGTTCCTGAAAGGTCTCCAGCATTAACTTAATATCTTTCTTGGGTCAGGGAAAGGAATAGCCATGAACGGCTGACTTGGAAATCCTGCATTATTACTTGGCACCACAGGTGATTACCTGRCCTATTTCACAAGGTATCCTGGAAGAGGCAGGAAGAAGCATGCTGTTATAACCCCAGGGAGATATAGGCCCAGTGGCAGCTTTATTAGATGGACTGCATGCAATTTTATGGGCTCTCGTAGAGTGTGTACAGATTCCTGAGTCTATACCCCACCCTGATAGTGACTGATATATTTTTAAAGGGAAAATACGACAGATGTTTGATTATATCTCTMGTGCAATTTGAGGCCCACATGACTTCAGTATATGAGCTGATTTATAGGCTATAAATCCTGATGCAAATGAGCAGTGGTGTTTATTATTTATATTTCCTCTGGCCCTTGGCTGAGTTCCAGAGTGGTGATGGGTTTCTGTATTCAAGAAAGTTTCTCAGAGGAGAGAAAGAGGTCAAAGAGCAAAACCCAGAACTTGTCAAATTAACAGAGTAGTGTTACACTCTTAAGATTTTGTCAATAATGGCCCTACTGACCATTCTTTTTTCATCCAGAATTCAGGCCCAGATAAACTGGACAAAAATCTCAACAAAACCCTACTGTGTCTTGTTGCCATTTAAAAATAGCAATAACTGACTTTAACCATAAAAGTATTTGAAGGTTTTATAATGGACAGCTTTAATTTTAAAAAACCACGTTTATTTTAATTGAATGGATCTTGATTATAGTGATGATCCTGGGGTATTGCCAATAGCTTGGGCCACATCAGGTTTTCATGATATATCGTCAGATCTAGGGTATTCCAGAAGATGATCTGGATCCAGGTTTCATGATACATTTATTATGTCATTATGGGATTCTGTTGTTTTTGCCTTTATTATACTTACCCAGATTATTTTGTAATTCTGAATGTGAGTGTGAAAGGCTTTTTTCATTCTTGCAATTGCCATGGGTATTTTAGATAATAGTTATCATAAGTGATAATTTTATTAAATTAGTACCTGGATAAAATTCATATGTATATTCTAGACACACACACACACACACACACACACACACCCCTTAGTATCTGAGGGTGTCTTCCATGGATACCCCAATCTGATGCTCAAGTCCCTCATATGAAACAGCAGAGTATTTGTATATAAACTATGTACATCCTCTGGTAAAGTTTAATCTCTAAATTACTTATAACACCTAATATATAATATAACAAAATCATATATATAATAAACATCATATATTATACATAATTGCATTATGTTATATAACATAATATATATCATATGTTATATGATATATATTATGTTATATTAGAAAATATATTGTAATAGAATATAATGTGTTATTTAGAGAATAATGACAAAAGTATCTACCTGTTTTGTGCAGATGCAAATTTTTCTACATATTTATATTTTCTGTGTATATGTAACATATATTACATGTAATACGYGTGTGTGTGTGTGTGTGTAKAGAGAGAGAGAGAGACTTTGCCACTTTTTTGGTGTGTGTGTGTGGTGCTGGGGATTGAACCAGACTTTGTCATTTTTTATAGCAAAAGAAATGAACAGACCCTAGGTCACCTGAGACTCTTCTGACTGGTCTGCTGGAATTGCTCTGTTGTGTGAGGGCATCTCTTCATCCCCAGTCATTCAGAACCATTTACCAAACACCTCTCCATATGTGTCACTACCCTCGCCAGTCTTGGAATGGGCATTGTCACTGTCATTTATATTAATATCATATGATAGAGAATGCCCTTGTAAATAAATAACATGGCATGTAAATACTGTAGAAAGAGAAGGGGAACTGGAACATTTGGGGTGTCCTGCCATCTGTAACAGTATGGAGGTGATTTTGAAGTGGCTTTAAATGTAAAGGAGACTTCTCGCTCAAATAGATAAACAAGGTAGGAGGGCTGTAACCATGAGCAGAAAAATGAAGGAAGGCTTCAGCATTGCTGGGCCTTAAGTGAGAGGCCCTGCCTGGTGAGTGGAAGCAAGGAATGAGGAGAAGCTCAAGTGCGTGTCGTCCTGAGGAAGAGCTTTGAATGGGCAAAGAGCTTTGAATACAGGGAGTCTGCTGACCTCTTGGGAATGCAAACCTGAGTATTCATGTGGACAATGGCCAAACCATGCACCAAAATAGACCTGTGACCCACACTGCAGCAACCTGCCCAGGAAACCAAGCCCTTTACCTCTAACCAACATCCTGGGAAGCCAGCGTGCTCAAAGTCCTACTCACAGCAGTCTGAATATTGGCTCCAGTAACAATCCAGGAAACTAACAGCAATGTCTGTAATAGCCCCAAATGTCCAGCAGTTGATTAATAACTGAGTTTCCCTAAGTTTGCCCCAACTTTCAACTTAGGACCAACCAGAGAAAGCCAAGCAGGCATCCCAAACCAATGCCGTAGGATGCCCCCTTCTAAGTAGCCCACCTCCAGTTTCCTAGTCCAACAGCTTGTCCGTGGGACAAGCCTGAAACCTTCCCTGCTTCCTGCACTAAGGCATTCTCACTCCTCTGCTGCCTTTGAGTCTTTCTAAATGCTGACTCCCTCCATAACTAGCTCTGAAAGAATAGTTTTGCTGTCAGGTGTGGTGGCACATACCTCTAATCCCAGTGACTGGAGGGTGAGGAGGGAGGATTGCAAGGTTGAAGCCAGTCGGGGCAATTTAGCCAGAACTTGTCTCAAACTAAGAAAATAAAAAGGGCTCTGGGTGCTCACATCAGCAGCACACACGCTAAAATTGGAACGACACAGAGAAGACTAGATGGCTCCTGTGCAGGGATGACGTGCAAATTCGTGAAGTGTTTCCTTTTTTATGTTTTCTCTCATCTGAGGAGGCTAGGAAGGAAAAAGGAGATCAATAGAGGAAAGAGACTAAGGGGTGAAAGGTGAGAAGAGAGGGGAAAAGTACTGGGGAGTGATATTGGCCAAATCACACTGTTATCTTGTGTATTATGTGCCATGAGCCAACACGTAACGACAAACCCCATCAGTATATCCAATTATAATGCACCAATAAAAAATGTAGGGAGACAACAACAACAATACAAAGTGCTGTGGATGTAGCTCATGATAAAGCACCACTGGGTTCAATCCCCAGTACCCGGATGGGGATAGGGGAGTAAAAAAAAAAGAATAGACTTTGCTTTCCTATTTGGCTGTTCTTCATAGATTTCAACAGGAATATTACAGCTGCTGGTTCCAATCCATCTGCTGCACAGCTTCACTCTTGTATTTCTGCCTCTGCTTTAACAAGGGCTGTGAATCCCTTGCTTAGCATTTTACCCAGGGAAAGAGTGGGAAAAAAAATGGATGAACAACAATGCGGTGTCTGCTTTTTGAGGGTCACTAGAAAATGCTGTTGTTTGTTTCTTAAGTACAATGGAAGAACACAGGCTCCAAAAGAACAGGCAATGGGAGAGAACACTGTTCTGATGTGGTATGGGAACTTATGATTTTAAAGGATTGCTAAGAAGAGATTCAACTATTTGGGGACCAGTAATCAGTAGTTGACTTGCTCTGTACTTATTAGTACATCCCTATCTCCTCTACAATGCTATTATCCAGAGAACGGCTCCAAAGACAGACATTATTGTTCAACAGTTTCCAGTGGTAAGGAATTGTCTATCAGCGTCTTGKAAGTTAACAGCATGTTCTAATGAATGGTTCTCCTCCCAAATCACATTAGCTTAAAGGTTCAGAGTCATATCTGCTTAGCTTGCTTCCTAGTTTGAAAAGTCTTAGTGGTATGAACTTAAAGGAGTATATAGTATGCGGGAAGTCATAATATATTGACTGTAGGAGGAATTCCAATGCATTCTTGAGTTTTCTTTTTACAACTTCATTATGTGCATTGCTTGAAGTCCTGGCCTCCAAATGCTTGATCAAAGTTGCCTTTCTGTTCTTGGAAAACAATAAGTTTGCTGATAACACAGGTTCTGTGAATAGCAAGTGTCAGTCAATATTACTGTGTAACTGATGAGAAATGCTGGTATTTACTTTTCTTATGCCCTGTCAACAAATCAGATATTTGATACTCTGTGGTTTTGGAATACTCTGGTTATGGGATGTACAGATCAAGCAGGAAGAAAGACTCAGTGTGGAATCTTGATCCACAAAACCCAAGCTCCATGAGTTTCCTGCAAAGTTTCCCCAGCCTAAGGCTTCCACATCACCTTCTCTGGGAACCTCCACTCTACCTCCCACCAGCATGTCTCACAGTGACCTCTTCCTGGGGTGTGCTGATGTTACACTTCCATGTATTACGTTCTCTCCACCGCTACACCTACCCAAAAGTTCCTCATTGCCAAAGACCAGCTCAAATCCTACCTCCTTTTTGATATTTCTATGATGGCCCTTATCAGAAGTGATCCTTCACCTCTCCATCCTCTCAATGGTTATTGTTGATTCCACTTGCAGATCTTGAAAGCAGTCACCTGTGTAGCCATCTTTGTTCCCTCATTTGTTCAACCAATATTTATTGAATATCAAGTTTCATTCAAGACAGGATAGAGCAGTGAGCAAAACAGCAAACACTGTTTGCACACTGTTAGAAAAKACAGCAGGCAAGATAGATATGTAAGACACATAGTTTGTCAAATGTCAGTTTTAAAGAGAAAACAGAAAGCCGGCAAAGGCAGTTTACTGAAATTCTAGCTAGAGTGGATGGGGAACATCTCACTGAGATGATTTCTTAAGGACCTGAGGAAGGTGAGGAAGCAAAGGGTAAAGATGGTCCTTCAGTCTAGAAAGCTCTTTCCTCCCCACACTTGCAAGGAGAGTAGTACAGCTAGAGCAAAGTGCATGTGCAGCAGGGACGATAGTGAACAGGAGGTGGGGTTCGTCATAGTCCAGACTTTTATTCTGAGCAAGATGGGAAACCACTGGAGGGTTTAGACGAGAGAAGACACCATCTGCTTTGTTTTACAAGGTCCCTCTGCCTACGGTGCTGAGAATAGGGGAGATGCCGAGTTAAGACTCTTGGTAATCCACATAAGAGATAATAGTGGCTTGGCTATAGCATGGGGAGAATTGATCAAATTCTGGATAAATTTTCATGGTAAAGCTAAGAAGGCTTCCTGAGGGACTGGTGCAGATGTCAAGTAGATTGTAGCTTTGGAAGGACAGAATGTTTAATGCATCATACATCTTTTGGACCTGGTTTGTTGACTGCATGAATCAATCAATCCAGCAATCAGTGAACATTAGCTAAGTTCTCTCTGAGTTCAGACTGGGGTAGGGGTGGGGAGAATGAGATTTGTTTTGCTAGGCTGGGCTGATAGAGGATAATATTATTTTTAACTAGTCATAAAGAAGGTAATATTTTTGAAAATGAATAAATGAGTAAAAGGGACAGAGCAGATGACTTCTCTGAGCCAATTAGCATCTAGGAAGTCTTAGATCACAAAATGTGTATTTTCACTGAATTAGGAAAATCCCATAACATCATCCTCATTCTCTCTAGAAGATGTCATCAGCCTTCAGAATATATGCTGTCATTGTTGCTGAAGGCATTATTAGTGACAGTTCCCTATTTTATGCAATATATATTGTAGTAGAGTGCCGATGTCTTGAGGGGCACCAGAATCAGGAGGCACCACAGCTTTGTAGGTTCAAACAGCAATTCTTTATTCCCGATCTCACACCAGCCTCCACACACATTCAGGGGCAATTCCAATATGTCCGATCCCAAATCCTACTCCACGAGGCTTTTTTCAAATCCCATTTTAATCTCACGAGAACTCAACGGGAACAAGCAGCAGGAACACCCTAATCCCAGCATCAATAATCT